TTATTTTTTTTACTTATTATATCTACATATATATGATTTAAATTCAAGATGTTTTATTTCTTTATTAAAACAAAATCTTTCACTTCTTAGAAAAAAAAAGGGGTTACTTGGTCGCTCAAGTTCTTGGGAAAAGCAAAACCAAAACTAAATGTATTTAGAGCATGTTTGTGTTAACTCGTAAAAAATTTTATTTTTTTTACTGTTTATAAGTGATAAATTTAAATTTTTATTGAAGAAAAAATTTTAAAGTTTTTTATTTTTTTTACTGTTTATAAGTGATAAATTTAAATTTTTATTGGAGAAAAAATTTAAAAATATAATTATACATATAAAATATAAAAATCAACTAAATTAAATTATAATTATATTATATTTTAATAATTAAATTAAGTAAATATAAAAAAAATATTAAATTAAATGAATATCAATCATTTTTCAACTGAATTACATAAAAAAAAAGTGTTGTGACTTTACTTGGAAATTTAGTTTCTAGAAATTATTGTTGATGTTCACGTGAAGTGAGAATGATGTCCTAAAGATCGACAAATTAATGAAATCAATTGTAAACGTTTTGTGTAAAGAAACTAGCATAAGACTTGTAAAACTTGTATTCAACCCATCGTCCATAAATAGGTGCCCAACGCTCACAACGAATCATGACCATCAACTCAAATGTCATACATGCCACTTTTCCTCCAAAATTGATAAATCATTATTATTATTTTTTGAATATAGCAAAATTGATAAATGATGTGATACTAGTGATTTATAAAAAATCTTAAATTTAAATTTTGTAAATAACAAATAAATGTTAAAAGAGTTTCTCTCTATATAAGGTTCGACCCAATCAGATTTTGATTTAGTTAAAATTTAATGTGATTTTTGAATACCAAAAATTAATTAAAAAAATGAATGCATTTTTGAATTTCATAAGATTATAATTATAATATTATATAAAATTATAAAATTATTATTAAAATATGACATTAAATGAGTATGATATATTATTAATAAATAATTATATATAATATCATGAATGAATATCTAGATAAAAAAATTAATTATATCATGACATATAAATTTATAATATTATATAAATATTACAATTATATTGTTTTTTATTTTATATTAATTATAAATTTGAATCAAAATTTTGATTTAAAGACTAACATTTATTTATTTATTTTAAATACTAACGTTTAGTTAAATCAATGTTAATATCCAGTAACATTTAGAAATTAAAACTTAAATTGTTAATA